GCCTAATGATCTAACCATGTCTTCACACTCGCTTTTCTCCTTCAGCAGAGGGTCTAGTCTGCAGCACGCACCGCCTCAATTACACTTTTCACATTCTAAACTAGCTTGCTGGTCTCTCTCAACACTGTGAATTCCTTTTTAAAATAACTTTTTTTCATTTTTAAGTATGTCTGTATGAGAGATACAGGGTACAGTAGTGCCCTCAGGAGCTAGCATAGTGCATTAGATCCCCCTGGAACTGGAGTTACAGACTGCTGTGAGCTGCCATGTGGGTGCTGGGAATTGAACCTGGATTCTTTACAAGAGCAGCCAGGGCTCTTGACCACTGAGCCATCATCTATTTAGCCCCATACACTATCAATTTTTAATCTTTATGACATTAAGTTGGTTTTATTTTTAAAAACGCAGAACATTCTTCATGATAATACAAGTGCAGATGGTGATGATCTACACATCACATCTGGAGGCACACGCTGTGGGTCTACACTTATCACACCTGGAGGCACACGCTGTGGGTCTACACTTATCACACCTGGAGGCACACACTGTGGGTCTACACTTATCACACCTGGAGGCACACGCTGTGGGTCTACACTTATCACACCTGGAGGCACACACTGTGGGTCTACACTTATCACACCTGGAGGCACACACTATGGGTCTACATTAACATCTGGAAGCACACGCTGTGAGTGTCTCCTTACTTTGAGGATTCTCATCTGGGTTACCCAGTCAAGGGATCACTCTATTTATCTGATGTATTTACCTACATGTTCTTTACCCCCTCTTCATGATGATGCAGGTCTAGGCATTTCTCAACACTCAAACAACAATAGACTTACGTATCATCCAACACAATTATTACCATATGAAATCATAAGCAAATATTAAACTTCAGTTAATGAAATGCGTGCTCAAGTATCTAGGGATGTCTGCATCTTATCACGAACTGTCAAAACCTAAGAGGTCCCTGGACATAGTGGTGACACCTTTAGTGCCAGCACTTGGGAACATAGGCAGGAGGATATCTGAGTTTGAGGTCAGTCTGGTCTATGTAGTGAGTTCCAGGTCCAGTCAAGGCTAGAAGACATGATGGATGAGAATATGACAATGTAAAAGGGAGACAGAGTACAAGTTACCAATGGGGAAATATAGTTAATGGGTAGAGGGATTTTACTATGTATAATACTTGTCATAAATATACATATGTACTTACAATGTAGAATTCCTTGAAAATGAATATATTTGAGTATTTTCCATAATAAAATGCTGTGAATTTGAGGGCTAAGGATGTATTCTCAGTTGGTGGAGTGCGTGCTTACTCTCGTCAGGCCCTGGGGCCTGCTCATGGTGGCACATGCCTGCAATCACGGTACTTGGGAGGTGGGGCGCAAATTCAAGGCCAGTTTGACTACATAGTGAGTCTGAGGTCTGCCCAGGCTACAGAATATTCTGCCCAAAAGGGGGGGGGTGAGAATTTTAAAAACATACAGTAGGAGGCTAGCTTACAAAGAAGGCATAAGGTTATGGTTGGTAAGGATCCCCACACCAAGGGCTTCAAGTGTGGTATTATCTAATCCTGCCAATGAGAAAGAGAACATTTAAATGACTACCAGGTGACTATGAAGTGATGAACTTCAGTGTCACACCTATGTGAGCACGGGATGGAGGTGTGCTCAGACTGTCCTGTGTGCCTTGGGTCCTCAGTTCCATTCCAGCACTGTGGAGAAGAACGACACTTTGATTGTGAGCCTTTAGCGGCTGGGTCGTCTCTATAGCCCTTCTCTTAAAAAAAGGAAAAGAAATCTTATGTATTTGGTTATGCGACCGCTACAGTGCATGGACAGAGGTCACAGAGGTCAGAGAGGTCAGAGGACAACTTTACAGAGCTGGTTCTCTCTTTTCACCATCTGGGTTGCAGGAATTAAACTCAGATTGCAGGCGTGGCAGCAGGCACCTTCACCCACTTGCTGAGCCCTATTAAGTCTCATATGTGTATGATGATGTATGTGTATGCATGTCTGTGCCAGGGCTGCTGCTCAATGTCTCCCTTCATCACTCCCCACCTTGTATACTGACTGTGTGCTTGACAACCTGGATAGTCTAGCTAGGCAGTCTACCTCACAAATACCTTCTTTTTGCCTCCCAAGCCCTGGATTACAGCCAGTCTATGACATTCTCCTGGCATTTTCTGTAGGAGCTAGAGATCCAGACTCAGGTCTTCAAGTAACAAGCACTTTACCCACAGAGACACCATTTCCAAAGACCGCCACCCAAAACAGTATTTTTTTTTACAGTAGTATAGATGTACTTGAATATATACAGGTAGTATATAGTACATATGTGACTTGGACTAATGCATACTTTAAGTAGATGTCTTTTTAATATATATCCTTTGTAGTTTATTTATTCAAGCAGACCAGAAGACATTTTTCTTGTTTTACAATTCTTTTTTAAAATAATTTATTTATTTTTATGTACACCCGTGTTCTGCCTGCATATGTGTCCTCATGAGGGTATCAGGTCCCCTGGAACTGGAATTACAGACAGTTGTGAGCTGCCATGTGTGTGCTGGGAATTGAACTCAGGAAGAGCAGCCAATGCTCTTAACCTCTGAGCCATCTCTCCAGCTCTGTACATGCCCTTTTTGAGTTTACTATACTTACTATTCTTCACAAATGTTTGTATTTGTTTGATGTTTAGACTGTGCTTTTCTTTGTAAGCACAACCTCTCTGATATAAAGTGATGACATGTACAAGTCATTTAGAGGTCGTAAGTAGTCAGTGATCACTGCTGGTCTTTACTCCATGGCTCCTTTACTACTCTATCCACAATGAGGCAGCACTTCTTGACAGTGCCGCACACATACCACAACCTACGTGCAAGGCCACCAGTGCCACACTCAGAAGCCACACCCTTGCAGTCGGCCTTCCACACGGAAGATGATTAACTATCACAAAAGTAAGAGGTAAAAATCCCTTCTTAAAAACTGTTTGCAAACTATTACTTCTTGTAAATGACGAAAAGTACACTTTGGTATTTAATCCCATATATAAAATTTAATAGAAGAGTCACATGTCTACTTACTCCAAGTATGCCAAGTGTTTTTTACCATGTCCCTGAGGGGCTCAATTTGAACCCATAGGAGAATGTTTCTTGTAATATCCGTGAGCTGCATTTTTTTTTTTAATCTAGTGGGTGCCTTCCTTCCCAACCCTCATCTATTGGATATGGAAATTGCTTCTTTCACCGAGCTACTTTGGGACCTGACAGTTGCATTTTTTTCTTTTATTTTTAAGTTTAAATTTAGATTAAAAACAAGGTTGCTTCACAAGTCAGTTCCAGGTCCCTCTCCCTTTCCCTCCCCTCCTCCCGTGCCCTTCCCCCAACCCCCCCATTATCCCCTCATTTCCCCAGGGAGGGTGAGGCCCTCCATGGGGGTGTCCATAGTCTGTCATTTCATCCAGGGCAGGGCCTAGACCCTCCCCCCAAGAGTTCAGGGTGAGAGTGCACCTCACATTGTTGGATGGGAGTCCAAAGTCCATGTGTATACTTGGGATGGGTACTGATCTGCTGCCCAAGGCTCAATAGATTACCTAGGCCTCCTCACTGACACTCACATTCAGGGGGTCTTGATCAGTCCCATGCTGGATTCCCAGGCATCAATCTGAGATTCAAGAACTAACCCTTGTCAGGTCAGCTGTTTCTGGGGGTTAAACCAGCCCAATCTTAATCCCTTTGGTCATCAGTCCTCCCTCTCTGTTACTGGCTTTCTTGAGTTCAGCTCAGTGCTTAGCCATGGGAGTCTGCCTCTTCTTCCATCAGCCACTGAATGAAGGTTCTGTTTCCCAGACTCTCTGGCCATGGGATTGTAAGCTGGCACTCCCCAGATCTATGTCTAAAATCCGTATATGAGAAAGTACATGCCATGTTTCTCTTTTTGTGACTGTGTTACCTCACTCAGGATGGTTTCTTCTAGTGTCATCCATTTGCCTGCAAATCTCAGGATTCCATTGTTTTTTTCTGCTGAATAGTACTCCATTGTGTAAATGTACCACATTTTCTCTATCCACTCTTCAGTTGAGGGGCATCTAGGTTGCTTCCAAGTTCTGGCTATTACAAATAATGCTGCTATGAACATAGTGGAACAGACATCCTTGTTGTATGAATGGGCATCTTTTGTGTACATGCCTAAGAGTGGGGTCGTGAGCTGCATTTTTAACGTAAGCACGACAAGTGTCTTCTAGCATGTCCCTTGAGGAGCCAGGGGTTAGTTCAGCAGTAAAATGCTTCCCTAACAAGCACAGGGCCACGGGTCCCATTCCCAGCTCAAAAACAAATCTTTTGCATCACTTTTTTTCTAAAAATTATATTTGAAGCCAGGCATGGTGGTAGATGCCTTTAATCCTAGCAGTCAGGAGACAGAGAGGGAGAGAGGAAGAGAGGGAGAGGGAGAGGAAGAGGGAGAGGGAGAGAGAGGGGCAGAGCTCTGAGTTCAAGGTCAGGCCGAAACACAAAGTAAGACCCTGATCAGAAAGACAAAACAAAAAACTAGTAATAATAAATGAATGTTTTAAAGAAATTGCTTATTAGGGTTCAATCACCCAATTTACAAAGGCGCAAACTATAAAGATGACTTCTTAATATCAAGAAGACATAACTATACATTGTTAGAAGGGGAGAATGACAGCAGCAGTGTTGACGGGGCTGTGCAGTAAGACCGGGTGGAGTAAAAGTTAGCCTAGCAGCTTATGCAGTTACAACAGAAATGGGTAACTCACTACATAAGCACTCGGTAACTAGCTGGCACTAAGGTACTCATCTTGTGGATTACACACCAGTGCAGAATGTTCTATGGGACACCACATCACACAACTGAATATACAGCAGCTGAACCTGTAATCTCAGAACTCAGCAGGATGGGGCAGGAAGATTTCAAGTTTGAGGCTGGCCTGGGCTAAAGAGTAAAACCCAGTCTCAAAACAAGAAAGACACAAACCTGTGTAACTTTCATCGTCGCCAGACAAAGGCACCTCTCTTTTTAGCAGCAACTCCAACTCCTCTGTCTCTGCCACGTCCACGGGGCGCTCTCCATGCTTGTTAGCTTGGAATGGGTTCCCACCATGACGAAGCAACAGCTTCACTATCTGCAACATCCAACAGCAGGAAAGTTTAGTCCTGTCATTTATTTCAAACCATTATCCTCTCTTTTTCATGTGTCTGAGTGTCTGTGCACCACTAGCTTGCCTAGTGCCCAAAGAGGTCAGAAAAGGGCCCTGGATCACCTGGGATGGGCTGGCGTGACACAGGTTGTGAGCTGTGTTAGGGACTGAACCAGGCACCTGGAAGAGTAGTACGTGATCTTAACTGCTGAGCCATCTCTCAGTCTCTCAAGCCATTCTCTTGATAACACAACACCCATTTGAGTGTTACTTTGTCTATTCTACATCCATGACACAGTAGTTACTCAAAATCATTATAATTATTCACTAATTCCACTTTCGTTAAACCTTACCCCACACAATGACCTCATCTACTATAAAGAAACGGTCTCCTTTAAATGATGGGGTAGGGGAGCTGGAGAGATGGTTTCACAGACTAGTCCACATAGAGTTCAGGACAGTCAGAGGTACACAGAGAGGCCCTGTCTGAAAACAAACAAACAAACAAACAAGGACTCTTGAGTCTGTTGAAAAGCTTTCTATGATCATTTGGAAGCAATCAATGTAAGTATAGAGGGTTTGAAAAACATGGCACAAAATTTCCAACAGCAACATTTTATAGAAAAAACATCATACAAACACTCTAGTGAGTAGTTGCATTAACTTAAACTTGCTTAAAATGTAACAGGCAACAAATGAGAAGTTGAGAAAAATAAATAAATACAGTTGGGTGGTGTTGGCATATGCCTGTAATCCTAGCATCAGGAGGCAGGCAGATCTCTGAGGTCAGCCTGGTAAACAGTGAGGTCTAGGATAGCCAGGGATACACAGAGAAAAACCCCACCCCGAAAATAAGTAATAGACACCTAACCCTGAACTAGGAGTAAAGCAGCATAAAGATGTGTACAATACACTTGTGAACGGCAGGAAACAGATGAGGTTACCGGTAACCTATGTCAACACCCTTCAACCCTTACCACTTAGACCTGTTCATATAGCTGCTCTTTCAACTTCCCCTCCCTAGAAGGTGTTTTATGTTTCTTTAAGTTATTATGGTTTTTACCGAATGAAAAACTTTAGTTCATAGGACATGGTATAGATATATAGGGATGAGAATGTTTAGCAGCTTTTCTTTTCTTCCCTCTTAAGCACAAACAGAAGAGCAAGCAGAAAACAGTACTCAAAACTTCTTAAACCGTTATGGCAAGATGACTCAGTGGTTAAGAGCTCTGATGGCTCTGGATACAGTTCCCAGCACCCAGATGGAAGCTCCCTGCTGCCTGCACATGGATACCCTCGTCTGTCTTTGCAGGGTTCTGCACACACATGGAAATTAAGTATATAAGTATATATATTTTAAACTCTTAGTTTTGAACAGAGCACAGCTGATGGGGGATGTCCTTTTGTATGCCGCGAATATGTGTTCTTTTATTTGTTGATGAATAAAGCAGAATAGAGCCAGACAGAAAATCCAAAGACATGGAGAGAAAGAAGGCAGAGTACGGAGACGCCATGTAGCCACCGGAAGCAAGAGGTGAGATAAAAGCCATGAGCCTCTGTGGTAAAATACAGAATATTACAAATGGGTTAATTTATATGTAGAGCTAGCCTGTAAGAAGCCTGAGCCATTGGCCAAACAATTGTACATATAAGTCTTGGAGAGGTTATTTCGGAATTGGCGGGTGGGACAAGTAATTTCCAACTACACACAGCAGAGTCCTTCTAGAAGAGCTGCAAACAATATTTTGTACAGCATATGTGCTCAAATGGCAGCTTTTGGAAATACTGTGCACCTATGAGCATGTTTAGAAACTTAGAGTCATAGAAATATATCTTAGTCACAAGGTATAATTCCACTTATGTAGCGAGTGTCTACCCATTGAGCTATTTTACCAGTCAACATTACAATGTCTCTAACGAAAAAAACAGGAAAATACCTTACAGAAAATATTGAACAGTACTTTTCTTTCTGTGAATTACTTTGGTATATATGAAGTATAGCAATACAGAAGGAACTTTCAGAGTTTCCCACCCTGATGTTTCCATAGCATTTCAAAGTTTTCCTGCATGTAAAATGTCTTCTATTTCTTCATAATATTCTCCCTTTAAAAGGTATCTTTTTATTATTATTTTCCTATTTAAAGAAAAAATTTTTCATTTTACATACCACCCCCAGTTCCCCTCTCCTACCGCCCCCCTTCCCACCCCATCCACTTCTCAGAGGGGGTAAGGCTTCCTCTGGGATGCCAGCAAAGCTTGGCATACCAAGTTAAGGCAGGACCAAGCCCCTCACCCCCATATCAAGGTTGAGCAAGGTATCCCACCATAGAAAATGGGTTCCAAAAAGCCAGTTCATGCACCTGTGATAAGTCCTAGTCCCACTGCCAGGGACCCCCCCAACAGATCAGGCCACATAACTGTCACCCACATTCAGAAGGCCTAGTTCAGTCCCATGGAGGGACGTTCCCCAGCTGTCAGTCTGTACTCTGCGAGCTCCCACTAACTCAGGTCAGGTGTCTGTGGTTTTCCCATCGTGCTCTTGATCCCTCATGTTCATCCCTTGTCCTATCCCTTCTCACCCCTCCCCCAGTTTACCCAGGAGATCTTAACTACTTTCCCTTCCTGGGGCCCTCCATGTGTAGACTCCTCCTTTTTACCTAGCTTCTCTGTCGGTGTGGTTGTCCTTTGCTCTACATCTAATATTCACTTGTGAGTGAGTGCATACCATGTTTGTCTTTCTGGGTCTGGGTTTCCTCACTCAGAATGGTTTTTTATATTTCCATCCATTTGCCTGCAAATTTCAAGATTTCATTGTTTCACCCCCCCCCGGTGAGTAATACTCATTATGTAAATGAACCATATTTTCCTTATCCATCCTTCAGTTGAGGGGCATCTAGATTGTTTCCAGGTTCTGGTTATTATGAATAATGCTGCTATGAACATAGTTGAGCAAATGTCCTTTGTGGTTCCAGTGTGCATCCTTAGGGTGTATGCCCAAGAGTGGTATTGCTGGGTCTTGAGGTAGACTGATTCCCGGTTTTCTGAGAAACTGCCATACTAGTTTCCAAAGCGGCTGTACAAGTTTGCACTCCCACCAGCAATGGAGACGTATTCCCTTTACTCCACATCCTGTCCAGCATAAGCTGTCATCAGTGTTTTTGATGTTAGCCATTCTGACAGGTGAAAGATGGTATCTCAAAGTCATTTTGATTTGCATTTCCCTGATGGCTAAGGATATTGAGGACTTTCTTAAATGTCTTTTCGGCCATTTGGGTTTTATATATTGAGAATTCTCTGTTTAAATCTGTACTCCATTTTAAATTGAATTATTTGTTGTTTTGGTGACTAGGTTCTTGAGTTCTTTATATATTTGGAATTCAGCTCTCTGTCAGATGTGTAGTTGGCTGCTGGTTTGTTTTGTTGACCGTGTTCTCTGCTTTACAGAAGCTTCTCAGTTTCAGGAGGTCCCATTTATTAATTGTTGACCTTGGTGTCTGTGCTACTGGTGTTATATTTAGGAAGTGGTCTCCTGTGCCCATGTGTTTAAGGGTACTTCCCACTTTTTTTTTTTTATGAGGTTCAGTATAACTGGATTTATGTTGAGGTCTTTGATCCATATAGACTTGAGTTTTGTGCATGGTGACAGATATGGATCTATCTGCAATCTTCTACATGTGTACATCCAGTTAAGCCAGCACCATTTGTTGAAGATGCTTTCTTTTCTCCATTGTACTATTTTGGCTTCTCTTTTAGAGGATAGAGAGATGACTCAACAGTTAAAACCCCTTTGGCAGAGAATCTGGGTTGGGCTTCAGCACCCACAAGGCATCTAACAACCATCTGACATTCAGTTCCAAGGGCTGCAACGCCCTCTCCTGGCTCTCACAGGCATTGCACACACATGGTGTACAGACATGCAAACAGACAAACTACCCACACCTGTCTTTTAAAGTTATTCCGGTGGGTGGGAGGGTGGGGTGTTGAGACAGGCTTTTTCTGTGTGTGTAGCCCTGGCTATCCTGGGACTCACTCTATAGATGAGGCTGGCCTTGAATTCAGAGATCCACTGGTCTCTGCCTTCCAAACAATGGGATTAAAGGCATGAGCTACCATGGCCTGGCTAAAATGCTTTTTTAAAAAATAATAAAACAGGGCTGGAGAGATGGCTCTGCTCTTCCAGAGGTCCTGAGTTCAATTCCCAGCAACCACATGGTGGCTCACAACCATCTGTAATGAGATCTGGTGAGTGACCTCTTCTGATGTGTGGACGTACATGGAGGCAGGGTTTTGTACTTGTAATAAATAAACCTTTAAAAAATAATAATAATAAAATAAAAGAAACCTCTTTTTAAAAGTATTATAATTTTAAAATATGGAAATGGATGCTCACAAGAGAGACCTAACGAGCCGGGTGTTGGTGGCGCACGCCTTTAATCCCAGCACTCGGGAGGCAGAGGCAGGCAGATCTCTATGAGTTCGAGGCCAGCCTGGTCTACAAAGTGAGTTCCAGGGCAGCCTCCAAAGCTACAGAGAAACCCTGTCTCGAAAAAAAAAAACAAAAAAAAAACAAACAAACAAAAAAAAGAGAGACCTAACTTATTTAAGCGGGAGCACAGTACACTGACCAAGCAAAAGGGAACACATCTTTTCACTTCAAATTCAACCTATGTCAATTATAAAACCACTTTTAAAAAGATGAGCAACACAGCACTATGACTTCTGCCGTGCGTGCGTGCATGCGTGTGTGTGTTCCAACCATACTCCATCTATCTGACAGATGAAAGTATTGTAATAAAATGTCTGACAAATCGGTTAACTTAATATCAATTAAATAACATATTTTATTTATTTTCAGGGAGTTAGTTCTTTTGAGACTCACTGTGTAACCCTCACTGGTCTACTCACTCTGCAGACCAGGATGATCTCAAACTCCAAGAGATCTGCCAGTCTCTGCCCTTAAGCTCTAGGATTAAAAATGTGTATGCCATGCCTGGCTGAACATTGCTTATTTTATGAAAAAAACAGTGCTAATAAATTAAGTACAGATTAGAGATCAGAAAATGGGAAAAAGAAAATAAAACAAAGATAAAGTGATGAAGCAATGATTGCAATTCACGGTTGGACCACTAAAAAGCACGCTCAACTCTTCCCGGTGGCCTCTGCTGTGTGAGCACACACCAGTGACTGGTTCACCATACTCACGTCTCTATGCCCACTGCTGGCAGAGTCATGGAGGGGGGTGTCATCATCTAATCCTTGTGTGTTAACATCTGCTCCTGCTGCTATCAGTATTTTAGCAACATCATAATATCCAACATTGCACGCTTCATGTAAAGGTGTCCAACCTAAAGTTAGGATATGAATTTAACAAGAGTTTAAGATATATACTTTCCATATTCATATCTATATGTAGCATATCGAGTCTAAATCAAACATGATACAGAAATAAAAGGGAACGAGTAAGAAACTAAAATCAACCATCAATTTTAAGGAGGTTCACTTGGGGGGAGTATCAGTTTTAATGGAACTAAATTATTTGGTAAAATACTAACTGTATTCAGTATAATCACGCACGCCTTTAATCCCAGAAAAATGAGGCAAAATATGAGTAACTTTGGTTAAGAGTCATTTAAAACCTTTATGTTTTATATGGTCTTATGTTGGTATATTTTCTAGATAATACTACTTCTAAGAAAAATACATTTGTCACTTTGCTTTCATGATTAAACGTTTCCACAAATGAAATATCAGAAGCATTAAAAAACATAAACATCACTGTAATCCTATCACCCAAGTATAATAATTTTTACAATTTCATGTAATTTTTTAAGATTAATTTACTTACTATGTATATAATGGCTCTGCCTGCATGTCTGTGAGCACACCAGAAGAGGGCATCAGATCTCATTACAGATGGTTGTGAAACACCAGCTGGCTGCTGGCAATTGAACTCAGGACCTCTGGAAAGCAGTCAGTGCTCTGAGCCATCTTTCCAGTATCCAATAGTTCATGTAATTCTTACCAGCTTCCCTCATATGCATAAACAAGGATGGATGTTTATTGTGGAAAGTTTTACACTGTAAAGCTGTGTCTCCACCTAAGGCACCTTCTGATGGTTTAATAAAGAGCTAAATGGCTAACAGCTAGGCAGGAGAGAAGAGAGAGACAGGAGAGGGGGGAGGGAGGGGGAGAGAGAGAGGAGAGAAAAGAGGGGGGGGAGAGAGGAGAGGGAAGGGGAGGGGAGAGGGAGAGAGAGAGACACACACAGAGAGAGAGAGAGACAGAGAGAGACTGGGAGGAGGAACCTGGTGATTTCACCAGCAGACTTGGAGCAAGTTGGATATGTATGCTGCACTAAAAAGAGGTAACCAAGACACATGGCAGAATGTAGATTTTAAAAATATGAATTAATTCAGTTATAAAAGCTAGTTGGGAAAAAGCCTAAGCTAAGGTCAAATTTTCATAATTAATAATGTGTCTCCAGATCATTATTTGCAGGTTGGTGGTCCAAAGATAGTATCACAAGAAAGCTTGCATCCCCCTGCACATGCACACCCACATGCATGGTATTATTTACTGTGTAGCCTGGATGTCCTGGAACTCACTCTGTGGACCAGGCTGGCCTCAAACTCACAGAGCTCCACCTGCCTCTGCATCCCGGGTGATGGGATTAAAGGCCTGTGTCCCCACTGCCTCTCTGCCAGGCTCTGTATTTCCTTTTACTGTTTTTCTAGAACATACTATGGCTTCAGTCCTCTTAGGATCTTCCTGAGCCCTGGAGTCACAAGTGTGTACTACCATACCTGGCCAGGACACAGTATCAACTGACTGAATAAACTGTTATTTATAGCCAGGCATTGGCGGCACACGCCTTTAATCCCAGCACTCGGGAGGCAGAAGTAGGTGGATCTCTGTGAGTTCGAGACCAGCCTGATCTACCAAGCGAGTTCCAGGACAGCCTCCAAAACAATACAGAGAAACCCTGTCTCGAAAAACCAAAAACAACAACAAAAAAATAAACAAACAAAAAAAACCCTGTTATTTATTTTTATAAGTTCCCATCCTAGGACACTGGCTTACTGCTAGTTTTTAGTTTAGAAAAAAAAAATGCTTCAACATTATCCCTTACTCAATTTTTATACATGTCTCAGATTGTTTTAAAATAAATTTTGTAAATGGGGAATTTCAGACAAACAGTAAAAGAATGTTTTAGGTAGATAAAAAAAAAGGATCATTCCCCTAGAATGGAGCAGTGTCTCTTGCCCTGTTCTCCCCTTCCCTCCTCACCATTCATTCTCTCCCTCCCTCCCTCTCTCCCCTCCCTGTCTCCTCTCCTATAAAGATCCTTCTGCCTCTTCGTCCAAAGTGTTGAAATTATAGGTGTGATAATATCCAATTCTAGTGAAAACATGAAGAAAAGCACTGCTTCATATACTTTTTGGTTGTTGAGACAGGGTCTGATGTTGAATTCTCTTTGTAGCCAGACTAGCCTCACGTTTGCAAAGCTGTCTTGGCCTCCCAAATTGCTGGGATTGACTTTTGCTTGGCTTTCATATACTCTTGGAAACATAAACTGACAGATACCCAACTTTTGGTAGATAAGCTGCCATTATTTAAAATAATATATAATATGCATCTCCTTTAATATAGTAATTTCAATTTTACTAAAATACTTTATGACTATGTACAAATACATTTCTAAAAGAGTGTTCACTGCAGGGCGGTGGTGGCGCACACCTTTAATCCCAGCACTCGAGAGGCAGAGGTAGGCGGATCTCTGTGAGTTCGAGACTGGGCTGGACCGATAGCCTCCAAAACAATACAGAGAAACCCTGTCTCGTAAAAACAAAACAAAACAAAAAAAAAGAGTGTTCACTATGGTATTGCTGAAGAAAAGCCAGGCATGGTGGCACATCTTTAACCCAGGAGGCAGAAGCAAGTGTATCTCTGTGAGTTTGAGGCCATCCTGGTCTACATAGCATATTCAAGAACAGCCATGGCTACATAGAGACCGTGTCTCAAACAAAACAAAACAAAACAAAAAAACCAGAAAGGCTACTCTATAAAATAGGAAGCTATTAAAAATGAAACACACACATATATACCTGCCAAACATTATAGGTAAATTGCAGAATTACAGACACAGAAAGAATGATTTCAGTTTTTTTTTTTTAAGTCTACATATAGCTAGGCAGTGGTAGCGCACACCTTTAATCCCAGCACTTGGGAGGCAGAGACAGATGGATCTTTGTGAGTTTGATGACAGCCTGGTCTACAGAGGGAGTTCTAGGACAGGCTCCAAAGCCTCAGAAAACTGCCTCAGAAAAACTAAACAAAAAAAAAGGTCTATGAATAATCATGTGAATGTTAATTTTTATGTATCATCATGAAAATAAACTGAAAGGGTATCTTTCCAAGTTGCCAGTAATTTTGTGGAAGAGAAGTGTATGGGAAGGAAATAAGAGCATATTACATGAAATCACATCTGACTGCAGCCAACGGCAGAGAGAGATGTGCAGTTAAGGAGAAATCTTTATTGTCACAGACTCTGACTGCCTACATTCTTAAGAGTGCTAAGAATTATGCTACCTGGGTGATTACAACCAACAGAGGCTAGCCGAGGGGCTTCACCAGGAAAAGCCTGGAGACCAGAGGAACCTACATAAGGTGGAATGAGAGGACCCCTGTCCTTTGATTCCCACGCACATGGTATGGCACGTGTCCCATTTTCCCAAACACACTAATAATGTTAATATGTCTTTTAACATATTAACTCGGGAGGCACAGGCAGGCGGATCTCTATGAGTTCAAGGCCAGCCTGGTCTACAGAGTGAGTTACAGGACAGGCTCCAAAGACACAGAGAAACCCTGTCTCGAAAGAAAAAAAAAAAAGATAATTACCACTCTCTTATGATGTTCGTGTTTCAAGTTAATAAATATTTTTTAAATAATCATGTATGAATTAACCATATTAGAGTATCATATGCTCAAATATACCTAAAATAAAAACTAATTTACATAGTTACACAGTAGTATATATAAGTTGTATACATAAAAATCTGAGTAATTGTTGACACAGAAATGTAACACAGGGGGGCTGGAGAGATGGCTCAGTGGTTAAGAGCACTGGCTGCTCTTCCAGGGGACCTGGGTCCAATTCCCAGCACCCACATGGCAGCTGACTACTGTCTGTAACTCTGGTTCCAGGGGATCTGACACTTTAATACCAATGTACATAAAATAAAGTTAAATAAATAATAAAAAGAAACATAACAGAAATCAAGGTTTTGTATATACATCAAGTTCTGAATAGAATGTACTTTTAAGACTGCAGCCAGGGTGTTCTGATCTTAGTCCCTGGACACTAGTGTCTCTGAGGCCTCACCTGCAAAGTCTTTCACATTCACATCCGCCCCTAAACTTATTAATTCTTTGACTTGCTTCACGTCTCCTCGAATAGCAGCCATGTGTAAAGGAGTTTCACCACGCTCATTTCTTTTATTGATTTTATCTTTTTGTCGAGATGAAGAACTGGGCGTCCTCTTCTGGGCTGGGGTTGCTTGTGAGGGATGACTTGGTGTGGAGTCTGTCAGAAAGAAGACAGTTCAGACAAGTTCCCAATCACCCATGAGTCACAACAACCACCGGCATGGCACAGTACCTCTGCAGGCGCAGTAGAGGCACACATACCTTGGCAGTAACCAGCAGCTCTCTAACTGGACTTAAGACAGACCCATTTAACAAGAAGGAAGCCATACCTGGTACTGGAAACCTACCTAACTAATTAGTACTAGCGAAACCATGGTCACTGGAGAAGAATCTACAACTACTTATTTAGTAAGCCAGCATAACCCTCATAACAATCTATAAACATCTGTCCTTATATCTACAGGTAACTATAGTTTCTAACTCCTATCAAGAAAACTTCTCTTTGCAACAGATGGAGACCACCACAGGAAACCACAACCAATCAAAATAAAGAGTTGGGGATTGCAGTCCCAGTGGACACAATCACAAAACACACTCACACCTAAGGCTCAGGGAACACTGAGGGAGAGACAGAATGATTCTAAGAGTCAGAGAGGCAGGGACTCTGCTGTGAGACAGTGCTTCCTGGTAACATCAGATGCTATACACCCACAAAGTCTCACCAACTACGAGCTGAACAAGGTCACCAGGAACACGCCCAACTGGATGGAGATGAGCACACAAGGTCTCAGCCCTACACAAAGAACTACAGGCAACTGAGTCGTGAGGAGCAGGACAGGGGGTTCTCCAGGGAAAGAGTATTCCGATTGGTTGTCCAGTGCCAAAGGGTCGGCTTTGAAAACATATATACAAGTAACACTATGTAGACTCAATGGGTATATTTGGGAATATATATACACACATACACATATACATATATATGCACATACAAAGACAGACATGCAATAGCTGCTGAAGAAAGAGCTGCTGAAGAAGAATACCTTCTTAATCTACAAATTGTGAGGCAGTGGGCCTTAATCCCTGTACTCAGTAGGCAAAGACCAGTGAGGGCAGTCTGGTCTACAAAGCAAGTTCCAGGACAGCTAGAGGTGCACCTTTGTCTCAAAAAACAAAACAAAAGAAAAAAATCAATTAGAGGGCTGGACAATGGTGGTGCACACCTTTGATCCCAGCACTCAGGAGGCAGAGACAGGTGGATCTCTGTGATTTCAAGGCCAGTCTGGTCTACAAAGTGAGTTCCAGGACAGCCAGAACTGTTACACGCAGAAACCCTGTCTCAAAAACTAAAACAACAGCAACACAACAACAACAAAAATGAGCCAGATATGTTAGTAACAAGTCAATGTAAGAAATGTTTTTCCTTTCTATCAATTCATAAAATAGGTTTAAAGTGATAATGGATATCAAATATATGTATGCTTCCTTAATGGATTCATGTCTTTTTATTCTTGATTTAGTTTGCACATCAAAAAACAAAGTCCTCTACCCTCACCCACCAATTTCAGAATCACTAGGTGAAAAAAAAGGGTTTTTAAGCAATTACTTTTGAAAACATACAACATTAAACACCTGCTCTAAGAGGGAACAGTCTATTCAGAATGTAATTTCTCGTCTGTCTCAGGAGACAGCACAACCAGAGCTCTAAAGCATCAGTACCCTTTTCGACACAGAAAAAGCAAAGGTTCATTTTGGGACTTCAAGTAAAGTGTCTCACCAACAACTTTTTCAGTTAGTCATTCTAGAACATAGACTTGTCAAGAGTAAGACTCTTACCTTACTCAGCACCATTTCTCAACTACTTACAAGATTTCTGGTACACATTGGAACTCAAAAAATGTTAAAGACAAGGTTACCCTGGCTCTAGGCCAACTAAGAAGACATTAACTCAGTGGCTGCAGATGTCAATCACCTGGACTGTTGTCCCTCGCTGTCATCTGCATTACAAGTGCCATCTGCTTCCGTTCAGAGAGTGGGTAACCAAAAAGGATGCTAACAGGGGTGGATTTCTTACTTCCAGTTTCTTTTTTGGTTTTCTTCTTTTCTGGACCTTCTTTCTCTGTAATGATTAATAAACATATAAGAATCTGAAACAACGTTGGTGACGCACGCCTTTATTCCCAGCACTTGGGAGGCAGAGGCAGGTGGATCTCTGAGAGTTCGAGGCCAGCCTGGTCTACCAAGCGAGTTCCAGGACAGTCTCCAAAACAATACAGAGAAACCCTGTCTCAAAAAACAAAACAAAACAAAAAAACAAAAACAAAAAAGAATCTGAAACAAACGTAAGTACTCAAGACAGCTTCTTTGGTAGATCTATGTGTGCATACAGACATGAGTGCATGCTAGTGCATACGTAAGCCTGCTAGGCTTACGTAAGCAATATTTTTCTGAAAGCTCTAGATAAAAACAATTCTTGATTGTTCTGTTAGGAAATTTTACTACTGGGAACATTTTAATTTTGACATTTGTTCTATTAAAGTATAACATCTTTAACAACAATTCAAATAGTCCTTATTAGAGTTGTCCCTTGATACCTCTAGAATTGTTTCTAGGACTTCCTATGGGTAATAAACCTGCAAGTGCTCAAGTCTCTCGGATAAAATGGTTCAGGGTTTGTATGTAACCCGTGTGACTCCTCCCATATGTTTTTTGAACTATGTCTAAATTACTTATAACATGAAATACTACATAAATGCTATGAAATAGTTGTTATGCTGGATTGTTTAGGGAATAATAACAAAACATTCTGTAGGGTTTTTTTTCTAAGTATTTTTATCTGTGATCAGTTGACTCTGTGGACAAAAAGCCCAAGTTATTACATCTTTGAAACTTCTCTTTCACACAATATCTAGTACTGCTGCTAAGCCTACATACCAATGAGCCTTACAATTGTCAACCTAACTCTAGCAATGACTTGTACAATCTTGCAAAAGGCCAAGCATTTAAGACATGTCTCAACACACAAAACAATCACTGAAGAAAAGCCACCAAATCATGTCACTGCAGTGACTGGAAAGCTGAACATGGAATGATACCAATCAAAGCTAATATGAGCAAACTAAAGATTCTGTGTGGCTGGGAGTTAATAGGTATCCTGCAAAGATCCAGAAATTTCCAAAGTCCTTCTCAAAGAGATCCCAAAACCACGAAGGTCAGTTGTAGCCATTTAGGAACCCTCCAGCCATGAAGCAAGTGTGTCCACTTTTGTGTAATGGGCTCAGGCTGCACTGGGTGGTACAGATGCAAGATACACATGTCTTTTTCTTTTAGGAATTCACCTGAATTAACTCAGGCACCAGGTATAAGTGAATCAAATGCCTGGTTGTTACCTATTAGATATCTATTTCTGGAATTTAAAATTCAGATTTGGAGGTACCTAAAAAAAAGGAGTTGCAAAATTAATAAAATTTGAAATTAGCAAAAAATTAAATAGTTGTAAATCTAGCAAGTTTCAAGAAATCAATTGAAATTTAATATTATCAATAGTCACAAGTTAATGATTGGTCCAGTGTGCTATCTCCAGTTAATCAGAAAAAACTGGTATTGTAATTAATGGTCTAGAAAAATGAGGTCGGAATAATTTAAACTGTGTTGCTCATAGATGATTCCAGTCATTCTGTGAACCCTAACATGTCCATAGGTTGAATGACTGATTTTTCCAAACAAAACTAAATATTTCCATACTTACTAAAAAAGAAAATCAACTTTGTTACTATGTCTTCTAGCTTTCATTTTCATCATTCCTGCATGATCATCGGTAATGAACTGATTTCATATAAATCCAATCTAACACAGCATTTAACCCATCACTAAAGCTATTATAAATCCTAAAGATGTCTTTGGAGAGCACTTTCTTCCCTGAAATAAAGACTCTTTGTCTTACTAAATCTCCACAGATCTTTGTTTTCTAATGTTTAGGGAGGAACAATTATTGTTGCTTTTGATGGCTTTTCATCTGATAACAATTTTTAAATATAGCCAATTGATTTTTCTCCTAGAATCAAAGTATGTAAGAGAGGAACATGTAACACCAAGTTGACAGTGTTTCTAAGGGAAGGAGCAGAACTGGCAACAAGCCTAGGAGCCACCAGCCAGCGCTTACCTCCTGTGGCTTCTGAGACAGGGTCTTGCTTTGTAGTTTAGGCTGACCTCAAACCTGTGATTGCCCACCTGAGCCTCTGGAGTGCTGGGATTACAGGTGCGGATCACCACACCTGGACACTTTGCTTACTACTTGAAAAACTGGGCATCTTAATATAATAAAAAAAAAACAAAATAACAGAGACACTCCAAGCTGGACATGGTGCACGCTTTTAACCCCAGCACTAGGGAAGCAGAGACAAGTAGATTTCTCTGAATTAAAGGCCAGCCAGGTCTACAGAGTTCTAGATCAGTCAGAGCTACATAGTGAGACCCTGTCTCTCCCCCACCACACACAAAAAGATGGCATTCTACAGTGTATACCTGGGTTACAGAGAAGACATATTGTCAAATGATCAAATATGTAATTATGTCAGAAGAAGACAAGTCGGATGTATTCCAAATATTTTAACAAAAATTTTACAGTTGCATTCAATACTCTAAATTACCATAATCATTTTCCTGATTTCTGCTCAAGGTCTGGTGTCCCCACACTGAATTTACATTTTACATGAACTAGGAAAAGAAAGTGAACTAAATAGTGACTGGTGTAAGTAGCTAAATTGAGACAATTACATTATTTTTTTAAATTGCTAAGTATTAAACTACTATCAAAGTTTGTATTTAAAATTTATTCTTTGTGTGTGTGTGTGTGTGTGTGTGTGTGTGTGTGTGTGTGTGTGTGTGTGTGTGGTTTTACTTGTTTGTTTTGGAGACAGGACCATACTATATGGTCGGGTTTAAGCAATTTCCAAATTGCAACCTTTTTGACTTCGTCCACTGAGTACCTGGGTCTAAAGCATGCAACAGTGTTTTTACCTGTTTGTAAAATTTGAAACCATCAAAAAGACTATGTGGGATCTATCCTATGAATCCCTCATTTGACTGGTCAAAAACTAGAAAACAATGGTGTCTATCTGAAAGGAGCTAGACAGCTCTCGGGGCTTTGTGCTTGCTTGTGGGGGTTGGGGGAGAGCTGGATACCAATCCAGGAATTTCACTCATGCTGTGTCTCAGCCAAGCACTCCAGTTTCAGTAACTAAAACACATACTCATTTGTTCTAACGTGACAGAACTTTAAACACAGGCACAACCAAATACGATCATTTAGCACTGTCTACCACAGAACTGAAATTCCACTGAGTCTATTTTGAGATTTTTAAGGAAAAAAAACCTAAGAAATTTACCTAATAATAATAAAATTAAAAACTGAATTAGTCTTTCCATCAAATCCATCTTTCTCTCGTGTCTTCTTTAACATTCACTTTCAGAGACAGAGATGTCCCTCTCATATTCTAGAAAACTAGTGTTTTTTTCCCCTCTTCCTGTCAGAATAAACAGAACACTCAACATTGTCACTTTTCAAGTAAGTGTACAGTGTTAGCATAGAGAAAGGACAAAACTTTTTTGGGGGAAACTTGGTTCATAAACCTATTGCTGTCTCGAAAATTAGAGGATAAAACATTTCCCAATGAAGTATTTTCCAAGAGAGACAATGGAGGCCAGTGAGCATAATTAATTAACTCAATCACATTTGCAGTGTGAATGCAGGTGAATGACAGGCAGACCGTAGTCTAAGCCATCATGTCTGGCTTGTCTCAGTGCTCAGCAGTCCCCTTTTAGAAAGGCACACAATGCCACAGGAAACCCTGTCACCAGGAACTTATCAACCCAATGATTGCAGCGTAACTTTAAGGATGAAATTAGTTCTTCGGCACCTCCAGATAGGCCCCCAAATTTATAAGATAAATAAGATGCATATTAGAAACACACAAGGTTAATATTCAATTTCTATAGCTAAGTATCATACACTAAACTACAAAGAAATACTCAGAGACTACACAAGACTTTCATCTTAGTCACGTCAGCCTACTTTTTTTTTTTTTTTGGTTTTACGAGACAGGGTTTCTCTGTATTGTTTTGGAGGCTGTCAGTCCTGCCCAGCCTCGAACTCACAGAGATCCGCCTGCCTCTGCCTCCCGAGTGCTGGGATTAAAGGCGTGAGCCACCACCGCCCGGCTACGTCAGCCTACTTTTAAGAAGAAAAGATCAACCAAAACAGCTAGTCTTGCTGGGCATGATGGAGCATACGTTATAATCCCAGCACTTGGGAGGCAGAAGCAGGCATATCTCTGTGAGTTTGAGGCCAGCTTGGTCTACAAAGAGTTCTAGGCTAGCCAAAGCAACACAGTGAGACCTATCTCCAAAACAAACAACTAGTTTTATTTATTTTTTTTAATTTATGTATATACTGTTCTGCCGGCATGTACGCCTGCAGGCCAGAAGAGGGTACCAGATCTCATTGCAGATGGTTGTGAGCCACCATGTGGTTGATGGGAATTGAACTCAGGACCTTTGGAGCAGTGCTCTTAACCTCTGAGAGCCCTCTCTCCAGCCCTCTTCTTTAATTTAAAATGAGGGAATTTCTCCTGTATTACTTATTTAGAGTAATTATGGATCCCAAACAACTGGAACTACAACTAACGAGAGAAGTTCTGACAGTTAATGCTGGGGATTTGTCTGGGTGACCCACACTTAGGGTTAAAATCTACTTGTGAAGCAAAAATCAATAAACACTGCAGAACTCAGTGAATAATACTTTAAATATGTTTTAAAAAAGAAATCATATGACTAAACAAGTATGATAACACTGCTTATCAAAACTAGTACACTTGGGGAGGCTTTACAACAGCTTGGGTACCCTCTCTCAGGAAGGAGTCTGAAGCTGAAAATTTTGCTGGATTCATTTAACTCGTTTAGTTTAATAAAGATATCTATAAACTGGTTTGAAAAGAGTTACTTATAGTACACTACTCAAATAGACACGACAGAGCCACTGGCTGAAGAGGAACCCTGATGATCTAATTACCTGCGTACGTCCTGTAAGAAGAGACAAGTCTCTCCCCCCAGTTCTCACTTGTATGTCCTGGGTCTGAATCTATAGAATGAAAAGAGACAGGAGAAAAGAAAAAAGCATACGAAAGGAAATGCAGAATCCAACATAGCAACATTTTAAAAACACCACCAGTTAATTAGGCAATGATTTATCACTGGCTTTATCTCAACAATAATATTATGGAAGAACAAAGGACATTTAAAATACAGGTTTGTCCAACATGTAATATTTCAGCTTCCTAGGTAGAGCACCTTAAAGTTTAGAAACGTAATCAATAATACCATGATATTGCTTATTTAAGCATAGCTCTTTTGATGCTGTTTTTTTTAACTCTGCCAATATGAAACAATGTTCTTATCACTGGTTTTCTGTTTAGAATTTGTCTTTGATTGAGTTGAATCAAACTCATTTTCTATGAGGGCCAGAATTACTCACAAAACAAAAGAACATCTAGGACTTGAGTATCGTCCTAGACCACAGACTGTCTGCAGACGGTCCTCATTCCCAGCGCCAGGAGTCACTGCCACATTTACTACTGAAGACAGAGATCATCCAAAACCATCAGCCTGCAATCTAGGTTAAGAGCACGGATTCCTGCCTACCAATTTCTGACGGCCATTGAGAACTCTGATGATACAACCAGAGCTGTTTTTACCTTTAAACAATGAGCCATTTACTCACAAGTTACTATTCTTATAGTCACAGCCTCGGTGTACTGGCACCTATGTATCTTTCCAGAATCATCATTATCAACAGTATTAGCAAGTTTAGATAAGTATAACAAATCGAGTGGTTAGGGAAAAAACTAGAGAACAATTGACCACAAAATATAATATATGGAAACTTTAAACTTTCAAGTTTAGTAAGGAGAGATTCATTTGAGCAAAGGAGATAATTAGTAAAATAACTTTTAACCAAATGTAAAGCAAGTAGAGCTGATTCAATGTCAAGACTTTCAATGAACATGCAAATTTCAAAACTAAATACATTAAACTGAACATGTATAAGAATTACATAAAAATTATCTGACATTTCACATAAAAATAAGCAGAGCTTTAAATGCCTTCCATAGACTATTTGGCTTCATTATGTGTTTAATAATTTTTGAGATAAGGTGTCACATGCAGTCCTGGATGTCTGGAGCTCACTCTGCACTGAGAGACTCGCCTGCCTCTCCTCTCCTCCCACACAAAGGCATGCTCTGCTCGTTTCCCCCACCATCTTCCTCCAGCCCTTCCCGTCCCTCCCTTTCTTTCTTCTCCGTGACCCTAGGACCCCCTTTATCACTTCCATGTCACAGAAACACGTGTCTGTATTGAAATGTATATTCTGTAGATGAAAGAAGTATGATGCTCATCTTCTCCTTTATCCTTGTTCCTCCTTTCTTCTCCCAAAATTGTTCTGCTTTCCTGACACACACATGCACACACACCGTTATCTTGTAAAACATGTTATCTTTCCACATTGTCTGAGTCACTTGAAGGTAAGTCCTTTAATAATACCCACAGCTTAAGGAAAGACGAATTTCTAAGACTGGCAGACAGAGCCGGCTTCATTCACAAAATTTAACACCCTCTACAACTTTGGGACCATAGATGCTGGGGCCATACTGTGCCTCCACAAGCACTGGTACTTGTGGGCATGTAAGTATACACACACACACACACACTCAGATGCTCACTCACACAAACTCACACTCACACACACACACACACACATTTGTGTGTGGGCACACACAAACATAAGCATGCACGAGTACCCATACCCTGTGGTGGTCTGAATGAAAATGACCCCACCAGTTCACAAATTTGATCACCAGGGAGTGGCACTATTTGAAAGGATTAGGAGATGTGGCCTTGTTGGAGGAAGTGTGTCACCGGGGATGGCTTTGAGGTGATAAAAGCCCATTACAAGCCCAGAGTCTCTCTCTTCCTGCTGCCTGAGGGCCCAGCTGTAGAATTCTCGGCTACTTCTCCAGCACTGTGTCTGCCCGCATGCTTCCATGCTTGCACTGACCTCTAAAGCTCCAATCAAATGCTGTCTTTTATGAGAGTTGCTGTCCATGGTGCCTCTCACAGCAACAGAGCACTGGGACATCCGTCCTGCATCCCAGGCTACATATGTGGGGTCGAAGGACAGCTTTGAGACCTGGTTCTCTCCTCTGCTATGCAGGTCCCTGGGATTGAATCTAGGTCATGGGCTTGGTAATTAGCAGCCTTATGGACATCTGGTGGCCCCTGACGTGTTAGTGTTTTGAGTAGTGTTTTGAGAAATAAAAGAACTATGAATAAAGCCATTAGCCTCATTTGGAAGCTACTACATATTTCTACTTCATTTGTGAATCAAAAATGCCTAACTTCTTTCCTGTATCCAACATCTTTTTCTCATTTACACAAAACCTTAATAATGTTTGTCTTACTGGACAATTTTCATTAGTGAAATGAACCTCCAAAGCTAAGTTCTGAACATGCTAAAAGAGTTGCAGTAAACATTCAGAGTAAAGAATATAGAAAATATAAATCTATTAGAAACCATAGTTTGGATACACTTCTGCTCCCATGATAAATCTAAAATATTTAGTATTTCTCTATGAACCAAAAAGCGTCAAGAGGAATGTACACAGAAAAGCAAAAAGAAGTCAGTTACGAATATGGTGAGTTACCAGAAACTAAATTATTGTACCTGTGTCTGAACCTCGCTCTTCGTTTCTTGACGGGCTAATGGTGAAGGGCAGTTTCCGTTTCATGGATGGCCTCTCTTTCATCTCCTTGCCCGTATCACTTCGGTCAATTTTTGAAGTTTTGCTGTAAGATGCAATCTTGTCTTTACTCTATTTTTTAAAAAAGTCAAAGACAAATAAAATTATAACAATATTAGCTAAATAACATGGAACTTTAAATTGAATTCTCTATTATTTGGGCTGGGCTGATGGCTCAGAAATCAAGAGCACTTGTTGCTCTTATACAGAGCACCTGGGTTCAGTTCCCAGCTCACATATGTCTGAATCTCCAGTTTCCAGGGACCCAATGTCCTCTTCTGACCTCCATGGGCACTGCACACACACACACACACACACACACACACACACACACACACACACACACACTACACTTTTTAAATCCTCTATTAAGGAATTTTTAAAATATAAAATATATTATAAGCCATGTATTTAATGGGTTAATGTATTTAATGACTTAATACAGAGCTTCACCAATTAAATGCCCCTTGTGCTGACGAGTTTTATATCAACTTAAAAAAGCTAGAGTTATCTGAAAGGAGGGAACCTCAATGGAGAAAACGCCTCCATAAGATGCATGGGGCATTTTCTTAATGAGTGATTGATGGGGGAGGGTCCAGCCCGTTGTGGGTGGCGCTATCCCTGGGTTCTATAAGAAAGCAGGCTGGGCAAGCCAGTAAGCAGCTCCCTTCATGGCCTCTGCGTCAGCTCCTACCTCCAGGCTCCAGCCCTCAGTGTTTTTGATGAACTGTTATATAGAACTGTGAGTGAATTATGCCTCTTTTCCTCCCAAGTTGCCTTTGGTCATGATATTTCATGTCATCAATAGTGACCCTAATTAAGGCATCCCTCAACCCACTACTTTTTGGAGACAAGATCTCACTATGTAAGCCAGGCTGGCCTCAAACTCACAGCAACCTTCCTACTGCAGCTTCCCTTCCCAAGAACTAAGATTATAGGTGTGAACCACCATACCTTAATTAATTATAACATTTTCCCAAGATATTTCATAGCAATAGAAAATTTAAGTAACACTAAAATATCTTGACTATAACAAAATAATATATCTTAATATAATCTAGATGTGTTACAATGAAAAAACATGTAAAGAAGAGGAATGGGAGGGGAGGGGGAGGGGAGAGGAAGGGAGGGGAGGGGAGGGGAGGAGAGAAGAACCAGAGACAAAGACGGAAAAGAAAATGATAATCATTAGAACTGAGCTGAAATGTAAGTCAAGAGGATAATAAAATTACAAAAGACTATTATTTCTAATTTACATCAATAAAAACCTTAAAGGCTAGAATAATGTATAATGTTCCTAGAAAATAGGCATCACTAAAAACTGGGCAATGAAACCTAGTGGAATATGCCTTAAATCCTGGTACTTGGCAGGTGGATTTCTGAGTTCCAGGCCAGAGCCAGTTCTACATAGAGATCCTATCTCAAAGAGGAGGGAGGGAGGGAGGGAGGGAGGAAGGGAGGGAGGGAGGGAGGGAGGGAGGGAGGGATGGAGGGAGGGGAAAAAAACAAAACAAAAAAGGGGATAATGAAAAGGAAAAGCAAGCTGGAATATATCTTGACCACACAAGACAATAAACCTATGGTCAAAGATTGATTCGTTTACATAGGCATATATGGGCTGACACGACCCTTTGACAGCAAATGTGTTTGTGACTGAGGCTGGAGACCTGTAATTACTAAAAATACCAAACTGGGAGTCTTTTATCCAGATTCCAAAGAGTAAAGAGTCTTTAGCTGTCTGGTACCTTTCTTCCACATGGTCTCTCTACCATATTGCTGTCACTGTCAGAACTCTCACTCTGAGCTGGCTTTGGGAGCCCAGGTTTGGGCATTTTACGGCTCTTCAGCTAGTTGCTTCTTCTGTCAGTCTTCTCATCCTGGGTCTGTAAAGAACAGGTGTACAATGTGTTATTTTATGTGCATACAATGCGATCCACTTCATGCTTATGTGCCAGAGTCAATACAACTTAGTTTTCTGTTTCTATAATGTTTCCAGAAAAGACATCCTACATTTTCACTTATCAATTTGAATTTTGATTAAAGTTCCCTTGCTGAAGTCTGTTCAGCTTGTCCATGGAAAGAAGGAGAAGGACTTAAGTTCCACCTCTCAGTCACCGTTTCCAGCTTTCTAGACATCCACAAACAGCAGCCACGGAGAGCAGTGGCAAAGGTTTCTCATTCTAACACAGATCCAGGTGGGAACTTCAAACAGGCTTCCGCTCAGACTCAAGCAAACCATGATAGGTGTCATCAGAGATGCACACCTAACTCCCTGTATTACACTCTACCTGCATAAAGTCTTCCCTTCACTGAGCACTCAGTCACCTTGTACCTTTAGCAAACTGTGTGCTCATACACTTATGCTGGCTCTAACAATCACTTACATACAACTGTCTTTCAACCTTCTCAGAGCTTACACTTACAACAGCTTGGAGATGAGAGATGCAACAAAATTTCTAAGGAAGTTTCACATACAAACGAGGACGCTGAGTCTAAACCTGCTTTTGTTCTCTGATGGTCTACTAGCCACAAGTAGCTCTTTAAATGAATAAAAAGTAGGCAAAATTACATTAGCTGCTATATTATTCAGTACAGGTATACAATTATATTCTCATGGGAAAGTTTCACTGCATAGCAGTGGGCTAGATTAAGGTTCATTGCCAAGAAGAGCAGCACAACACTGAGAAATACAGTGACTGGCAGGCTTACTTTCAACTGCTTCATGCAAATAAATTTCCAGTGAGCATCGCAAGTCTTAAGGGAACGTGCCATTCTAGTGCCTGTGTGAACTACTAAATTCAGACACTTTGATAGTTATTAGTCAAGTCTACCACACACTCCAAATTGTCCTGTTGGTGCTTGAAGACTCATTTTGGTTTTGAAAAGGGGAAAAGGGTAAAAATACCTTAAATGAACTGAACTAACAAAACCACAGTAAATAGGTCTGCATAGAACCCAACTAAAACATAGTGCCTAGTCCAATGTAAATTACAATCACTAGAGTAATCATCACATAAACTATAAACAGAAATTAAAAGCATACTAAATAATTAAGAGTATTTAAACAAGAAATACTGTCAGTGAGGCCCCTACATGCATGTGGACACGGACACACACACACACACACTGTGTGCGTGCAATTATTTTTTAAGTGTCATCAAACCAAAACAACAAAAATCCACCTATAAAAATCATCACAGTTCAAATCTTTCCTTTAACAGAAGAGGAAATAAACTTTCCATGGGTGCTTTGGCCTTACACATAAAAGGCAGAGTGTGTCTTGGGCCATTCAACTGCCTAGAGCAGCCATGTAAACAGTTAACACAACTGCCTAGAGCAGCAATGTAAACAGAAGCAGTAACACAAAATGAACTACTTTCCTCAGTGCTGGCCGTGAGTAATGCTTAGAGTTAGAATCACAAGTTACAGAAGAATAGACAATCAAAACTAAGCTACTTAATAACAGACATCAACCTAGTGAGACTATGAAGACAACACATTATCTCTTTTGTGGATGAAATCAAGGCAAGTTATTAATGACATAAAAGAGAGTCATGAGTTTTTGTTTTTGTTTTTTTCTGGTTTTTCCAGACAGGGTTTCTCTGTGTAACAGCCCTGGCTGTCCTGGAACTCCCTCTGTAGACCAGGCTGGCTTCCAACTCACAGAGATCCACCTGCCTCTGCCTCCTGAGTCTTGGGATTAAAGGCTGCCGCCGCCACCACCACCCAGTTACGAGTATTTTTTGAAAAACAATTTCAGGGCATAACTGTTATGTTAGATGGAATGTGTGTCAGAAAAGCTTACACATCATCTTAAAAAACCTTTACTTAGAAAAAATTAGCAAAGACATAATGAAAATCATACATTCCAAAAATATTTAAAATTTATATATACAGATTTTAATACAAATCATAATCACTAGAGTAACCAGAAAAGTATACAAGGAGATATAAAAAGCACTCTAAATAATTATAATGGAGTAGTTCAAACATACAAATAACCCAATAAAAGGCAATACTGAGGTTGGACAAGAAAGCAGGGCTGCTGACTAAGCCAACTGGTGAACATGCTTGCCACCGAGCCTAACCCACAGGTAGAAAGAACCGACTCCCAAGTTATTCTCGACCTCCACATGTGGCATGCATACACCGATATACATACACACAATAAAGATTTTTAAATTTTAAAAAATCTAATAACCAATAAAATGAATGATCCAACCCAAACTTAGCAATAGTTACACAAAATACAATGGTTCATTTCTTAGTTGTTTTGTAAAGGGGGAGGGGGTCAATTTTGCCTTACATTTCAGGGCAGGAAAGACCTGGTCAATCCCCAGTCAAGAGACCATAGGAGAAAGGGTTAAGGGCAACCTTTCTTATTGTCCCCCAAGAAACATGACTCATTAAAGAGGAGCTACAAAACGAGGAGGGGCTATCACTCCAGCGTCTGACAACACACTTCAAACCAGAGCTGGTAACAAGGGGAAAGAAAGTCACCTTATTACTAGTGAGACAACAACCCATTGAGGACGCCAGCAAAAACTCCTGGAGGAAGGCGCTGTGTCTGCAAAGGCTGGCTGGCTGACTGACAGAACTACAGCGATGCGGACAGGTCAGAATGTTACAGGCTCATTACCTTACTTTGGCCTAGCTTTGGCCCCCTGAATAGCCACTTCTTACCCGCCTCCCTGTCTGTCAGAACTAACATCCTGTTATGTGACAGATACAAACCTTTCAAATTCATGAACCTGACAGACTGCACCATCCACAAACCCAAAAGCTAAGACTGTCATCATGTAACACCCAAGGCTCATAGAAGAGTGTCCTCCACCCTGCTGTAACTATCTCTCTGATGTTCCTATCGATGTATTTCCAACTTGCCTGGATTCATGACTTTCTTTAGTCTTTTGAACTATAAAACTCCATGAAACCACTTCCCTGTTGGAACATGGAATTTGGGGAAACCTAAATCTGTATTCCTGGATCACGGTCAGTCAAAAAGGCTCCAGAATAAAACTATCTCTTCTTCTCTTCAGGTGAGAGATGTACTTTCTGCATTGACAAGGGCACTTCAATTCTAAGCACACATGCAACCAAGCACAAGTACTCCCAGTTCATAAAACAAATACTGTAAGAAGTAAGGTCAGACTAACCTAGCACAGTAACAGTAGGTGACTTCAACACATGACTTGAAGCAGTTAACAGGTCATCCCAGCAAAAATGAACAAAAGGAATCTTTAGATTAAATTACATCATAAACCAAATGGATTTAATAGACATCTCCACAACATTTCATCCTTAGCTTGATAGTCTGAGTTTGGAGGTAGGAAGCAAGTGATTCCCACAGGCTAAGTTTTCTGATCTCCTCCACATGTCATTAAATAAATTAATTCATCCAAACACTGAATAATACACATTTCTCCTTACAGCCATCAGAACTTTCTATAAAAAAGATGATAAATTAGGACACCAAGAATGTCTTAAGAAATACAAGGAAACTAAAATAATTCTGTGTATTGCACCTGGTCACAACAGAATAAAGAAGAGCCCCGAGGGGATATTGAGGCACTGGTACTGGTCTCTAGAGAAACAGACTAGTAATTTAAAATGAAAGACTGGTGAATAAATGTGTGAATACTTGCAATGGCCCCACGGCCCAGGCCTATGGGCTCTGGCAGGACCCAACCTGTGGTTCCTCTTAAGGCTTTTCACCTGAATGGGCACTTACTTCCTGAGCAGGAGGTGATTGAGCATGGGGTTGGTTACACATGTGGTCCGTCCTAAGGTAAGATCTCTTGAGTCCCCCATAGGCTGCTGGGTAAGCAAGCATCAACTTGAGGGAGAAGTTGGTCCTCTCCACCCCACTGGGCTAGGTACATGTAAAATCCCCCAAATCTGGTTAGGGAACTCTTCTGTTCATGGGGTCTGCACAGTCCTGATGTGAGTCCTGCACAGTTCCACAAAGACTGTAAAGCCTGAAGACACCAAGGAAGCACCCATCAGCTTCCCCAGGGAGAGGAGTCCATGAGCTGCCTCCCTACTGGCTCCAACTGCCAACATCACCACATAGTGCCAAAGAATCAAGACCACCTGACCCCATCCTTCCAATGGTGTGTGACCTGGCACTGAGGGGAAGGCCAGGCCCTCCCCTCATCCAAGAAGACGGTAGCTATGTTAGAAGGGAAATCCTCTCCACTGCTGCAGAGAAATTGTAAGAGGCTTTTCTCCTCATTGCCAGACTTAAAGGACAAGACAGGCTCCAGTTCAGACATAGAACCTTTTACTGTAGCCTACAATGGGGAACAGCCCCTCACATCCAGAAACTCAACGCAGCTACACATCAACAAAGGGAGGTACTTCTTACCTCAGGGGGAGAGAAATTAAAGACAGACCAAATCCTGCAGCTCCTAGAAGCTGCCTGGGCCCCGCTGTGGCAGCACAGAGTCAAGGTCAGTGAGATGGGGAAACCAACTGACAAACCAGACAGCCAAAGGGGCCGCCTCTGTGAAGACAGCCCCGCAGTCCCCTCTGTTACCCTCCAGAAGGCGTGCTCACACTCAGGTGCTTCCGGGGCTCACACACAGAAACCGGAAGAAAGGAAAAGCCCAACCGACGAAAGAGCTGCTAGAAACCAGGAGGACTGTCTGGTTACCCCATGTCGGAAAACAGATGCGGAGATGACGGCTCCCAGCCTAGTCCAAAGCTCATGAAGCCGCCCGGCTAGACTGGCTGCCCTGTAAGAACTGTTGCATCGGTACTTGGTGGTTCTGAGGTCTGCAACACTGACCCAACAAGCTGGCAAGGCACGTCTCAGGTGCTGGAACAATTCCAGGGAGGGACCCGAGGTTCCCACACTGACCCAGAGAACTTCTACAAGGACTTTCCTGACGTCAGCCCGGCAGAGGGTACCGATATCTGCTGTTTACGGTGCGCACTTGTCAGTGTGGGCAGAGGCTTCTCCTGCCTGCACAGAAGGTGAGCATGAGTGCTGCACACAGGGTGCCACCCCTGATCATCAGGCTGAGTCGCGAGAATGAACAGAGCCTTTACGACAGCCCTGGCCACACACTGCCGAGACTCGGCCACCGCAGTGATCAGGGCGCACTGCACACACTGTACGTGCGGCGATCCTCCTTGCAGGGTCAGGTTTGGCTGCCCCCTCTGCTGCTCCCAGAGGACCCAGGGAATTCCAAGCGTGTGTACACACCGGCCTCCAGCAGTTCTTGAAAGACCTGGCTGAAACTGCACAAAAAATGCCCAATCCTCACCTCTCCCTCGGCTCTTTAATTTACAGGCGTCACCCGCAGTTGTAGAAGACACTGAACCCACACCAAGGCTGCTGTGGACCCCAGCCAGGAGCCAACCGTGAGAGTCCCAGACCCAGACAAGCCTCTGAAAGCGACCATGTCAAAGTGACCTCAGGATGGGGACAGCGACGCAGTTCCTACTCTGCCTCCCGATGTCCTCCGAGTGCACGGAGGACGAGTGCTACTGCTCTGTCATATAAATTAGTCTGGAGAACAACCTTGTCCAGGGCAACTCCAATTCCTGGACACCCATCTGTACAGCTAACTGCTCCCCAGAGGGGTCCAGCCTTACCTCCCACAGGTGACACTTCTTGGAAACCAGCCAGCCAGGGATCATCCCACAAAGTTCATCATGCTGTGAGGGAACAGCCTACACAGGAAAACAAACTGTGATTCTCTTTGCAGATGGCCCCAGATAGTGACAGCCTATGGACAAGTTGTTAGAGGACCAAAAAAACCAACAACAAAGACTATGGGGAAAGGTAGTAGTCTTAAATATTGGTCATGTGTGAACTCTGCCACAAAAGGGACCTGGAAGGAAGTCCCCACAGAGGGACACGGAGTTAGGCTGTATGAGCCTTCAAGGGAAAAAGGAACACTATGGAGATGGGCCATAGAAAAGCATGTGACAAAGTCATGACTCATGCTGTTGGCTCTAGGAAATGGCAGCCACGAGCTCCTTAACCAGGTCAGGACTGCAGGGTACTCCTACCTGCCAGCCGGGTTATTTATACTGGAGTAGCAATGGATAACCAACACAACAGGGGCATGTTTAACTGGGCCACCTGTTCAGGTAACAGGAAAAGTCCAATGTACAAAGAATTAAAGCTGGGAAGTGGTGGCGCACGCCTTTAATCCCAGCACTTGGCAGAGGCAGGCAGATCTCTGAGTTGGAAGCCAGCCTGGTCTACAGAATTGCAGGATAGCCAGGGCTACACAGAGAGACTCTGTCTCAAAAAACAAAAAAAACAAAAAACAAAAAACAAAAAACTAAAAGGGTTGTAGCAGACTATCTAAAAGAGCAGTAGCTGCTATTGGGACACACTCCTCCTGCCTCGGGAGACAGCTGCAAACTGGCAATCTTGGGCCCCAACGCAGATGTGCTCCCAGGAAGGGAGGTCCAACAATGCTTACACCCGTCAGAGTCGAGAAATCTGAGAACTCCTGTACTTATTTTTCCCCAGTGCTGTTAGGACTGGCTCTGACAAGGTCCACGAGCACCGATGACACTACAGTAGGCATCCACCACCAAGCTCAACACAGCAAGCTCTCTATAGTCACTCTTCGAAATCAGTCACTGGCAACAAGAGTCCTCCAAAACCAGAGGATGAAACACACACACACCCGGCGCACATGCACAAGGCATTAAATACTGTTTTTATGCAATGACTCAGGAATGGAACAAGAAAAACTCCATTGTTAGGAAGGATTAGGGCTACAGGAGCAAACGAGCGTCAATGGAGCCCAACACAGATAACGTGCCAGGAGTACCAGCCCATTTCTTCACGACAGACTCACGAGGTGTTGTGAAGAGAAAGGAAGAAATGAAGCAGAGTATGGTAAGAGGCAAGTCAAAGACGCTGCTTTATCGACTTACTGAGTGGCTTACTCCCTCAGAGCACTGCTTGTGCTGTCTATTTCCCAAGCACAGCTTCACTTGCCAGCTGGGACACAGTGACCTGAGGAAAGCTGACTCAGTCAGGCCTCGCCCTAACAGCCTGCTGGCTGCACACAGGCCTCTGCAAGTTCTGGCTTGCTGCCCACCCCACCTGGTAGTTCTGGAGTATAGAGTGAGGATGGGAACTGGCCTTTCAGGAACGGTCCTGGCTTTGGTCCACTGCTGACATTTCCTCTTGTCCACTCGCAACAATGTCTGAGTGCTTATTCCAGAAAGACTCCAACAGTGGTCTGTGCTGACAATCCCACCAGTGAAGGCTGAGGGACTGTAGTCCGCTGCAGCCAGTCCAGCAGCAGAGACTTCAGTTTCAATGAGAAAACCTGTCTCACAGTAGCAAGCAAAGGAGGCACCCAAGTCCACCTTGATCATGTTCATTTGTTTTGTAAACTGTTTCTCTGTGCAGCCTTGGCTGTCCTGTAGATCAGGCTGGCCTTGAATTTACAGAGATTGCTTGCCTCTGTACTAGTGGCCTGTATACACTCTCCTCTCTCTCTCTCTCTCTCTCTCTCTCTCTCTCTCTCTCTCTCTCTCTCTCTCTCTCTCTCTCTCACACACACACACACACACACACACACACCACCACCACCACCACCACCACCACCACCACAGCAGAAATGAGGGTGTGGCTCAGAAGGATCCAGAGCTGACCTCAAACAATTCTCCTATATCATCCTGCTAAATGCTGGGATTCCAGAGATACTCCACTATATCTGGCTTGGTTTTATTCTTAAGATGAACCCTTTCTTAATATATAACGACACAAAATGTGTTGTTTCGAGGACAACCAGGGTTACATGGCTAGACAATGTGTGTGTATGTGTGTGTGTGTGTGTGTGTGTGTGTGGTGGGGGACCTGAAACTAGGCAGTGACACAGGTTTATAAACCCAGCAAAAAGGGGAGGATCAGCTTTTCCTATAAAAGACCAGCACTGAGCCAGGCACATACCTTTGACCCAGCACTCAGGAAACAGGCAGGAGGATCTCTGGGTTCATGGCCAGTTTGGTGTTCAAGGAGTTTCAGGACAGTCAGAGCTACAGAGAGAAACCCTGTCATGGAAAATCAATACATACACACCCATGCACAAGGCCAGGCTTTCCTACACAGTGAGTTCTGGGTCAGCCAAGGCTACAGAGTGAGACCTTGTCTAAAAGTGTAAACAAGTAAACAACAACATTTTAAGTAAGTTAGTGTTCCTTGATCCTTTAGGAAGACCAAACTCACAGGCCCTATCAGCACAACTCCACGTATCTCTAGACTCTTAACAGTTTTAGATACTTCTTTTAAGTGCTTTTCTACCATCTGCTAAATATGAAGTTTTACAAAAATCAACCAGTACACTTGAGTATAGGCAAGAAGATTTTTAAGTTCAAGTCATCCCTGGATATATTCATATGGCTTAAAGTCTGCCTGGACTAGAGACTATGCCTCAAAAAGACAAAAAAAAAAAAAAAAGATGCTGGAGAGATGACTAAGCAGTTATGAGCACTCGAGGCCCTCTTCTGACCTCTGTGGGTACTAGGTGCACACAGGGTACACAGATACACATGCAGGTACAACACCAATGCACATAAAACAAAATACATTTAAAAACTAAAAAGACAGGTGTGGTGGCACATGCCCATAGTCCCAGCACTCAAGAAGCAAAGGCAGGTAGACCTCTGTGTTCAAGGCTAATCTGGTCCACACGTCAAGTTCCAGGCCACTATGACTACACGAGTCCCTGTCTTCACTAATAACAGCAATAATGAAGGTAACAACAATGTGAAATAAGCATTCTACTTCTCTTGCATGTAAGCTGTGAGTTACTAGCTATAGAACACCTGCAATGATGCTCCATCAGTCAACTGGTGTTTCATAGCAACCGCCATTCAAGTCTGAAACTGTGTCCCTTTGAATACTCAAAGGGTTCTACCTTCTGACATGAGTATATATAAAAGCAATGGGGGGGGGGGCTGAAGAGATGGCTCAGCAGTCAACAGCACTGGCTGCTCTTCCAGAGGTCCTGAGTTCAATTCCCAGCAACCACATGGTGGCTCACGGTCATCTGTGATGGGATCTGATTCCCTCTTCTGGTGTGCATGAAGACAGCACTCTTGTACATAAATACATAAATAAATCTAAAAAGAAAAGCAATAGGGGAAAGGAAATGTAAAGTTCAGGACAGCCTGGGGTACACAGTAAGAACATTCTATCCTAAATTACACAACAACAACCAACCAAAAACCACTATAGAGTCATCACCCTGATGACTAAGCATGTAGTGATCCAGTTTGAAGTTTCTCCTGGGCTTTTTTGTTTTGTTTTTGTTTTGAGACAGGGTTTCTCTGTATTGTTTTGGAGGCTGTCCTGGAACTCACTCTGTAGACCAGGCTGGTCTTGAACTCACAGAAATCCTCCTGCCTCTACCTCCTGAGTGCTGGGATTAAAGGCGTGTGCCACCACCACCTGGCCCTCTTCTGGGGCTTTCAAATAGACTGCAAAAGTCATGACTATAAAGGAAAAGGCTTGTAAGAAAAAAAGATGCTGGAGGCTGACACAGAACTGCAGGTAGATCTATGTCTATCACCATGCACAAATCTCAAGTCCAAAGGGATCAAAGACCTCAACATAAAACCAACCACACTGAACCTGACAGAAGAGAAAGTGGAAAATAACCTTGAACGCACGGGCACAGGAGACCACTTCCTAAACATAACAGCAGTTGTACAGACACTGAGATCAGCAATTAATAAATGGGACCTCCTGAAACGGAGAAACTTCTGTAAGGAAAAGAATACAGTCAACGGGCAAAACAGCAGCCCACAGAATGGGAAAAGATGTTCACCAACGCCACATATGACAAAGGAATATCTCCAAAATATACAAAGAACTCAAAAAACTTGGCATCAAAAGACCAAATAATGCAATAAAAAATGGGGTACAGATCTAAACAGAACTCTCAACAGAGGAATCTCAAATGGCAGAAAGACACTTAAGGAAATACTCAACATCCTTTAGTCATCAGGGAAATGCAAATCAAAACAACTCTGAGATACCATTGTACAACTGTAAGAATGACATCAAAAACACTGATGACAGCTTATGCTGGACAGGATGTGGAGTAAAGGGAACACTTCTCCATTGCTGGTGGGAGTGCAAACTTGTACAGCCACTTAGGAAATCAGTATGGCAGTTTCTCAGAAAACCGGGAATCAGTCTACCTCAAGACCCAGCAATACCACTCTTGGGCATACACCCTAAGGATGCACACTGGAACCACAAAGGACATTTGCTCAACTATGTTCATAGCAGCATTATTCATAATAGCCAGAACCTGGAAACAATCTAGATGCCCCTCAACCGAAGGATGGATAAGGAAAATATGGTTCATTTACACAATGGAGAACTACTCATGGGTAAAAAATAATGACATCTTGAAATTTGCAGACAAATGAACAGCTCTAGAAACTGCCGTCCTGAGTGAGTAAACCCAGACCCAGAAAGACAAACATGGTATGTACTGACTCCCAAGTGGATATTAGACATAGAGCAAAGGACAACCAACCGATCCACAGCCCACAACCCCAGAAAACCTAGGTAACAAAGAGGACCCTAAGAGAGACATGCATGGATCCGCCTAGGAAGGGGAAAAAGACAAGACCTCCTGGGTAAATTGGGAACATGGAGTGTAGGAGGGGGTAGCAGGAGAGATGGGAGGAGGGGAGTGGGGAAAATGTATAACTCAAAAAAAAAAAAACCAGCTCACATACTTCCTAGTATAGTTTTTTACTGTAACAGTAGCACAAGTTAACCTGGTAATATAAAAACTGTAATATACATGTTAAGAGTATTATTTGCTTAGTTACGTTCTTGTAACTTCTAAAAATCTGAATTAGAAGGAATGAAGAGAAAAATATCTAAAGGATATGAAGGGCTAATTCAAAAATATAAGTATTATTTCCCCATATATTAGCTAATATCCAAATTCATATAGCTAGAGTCAAATGCCTTTTGCAACAACACAGACTAGAGCCTTAGAAAGCACAGTGAGGGCCAGCGGGTACGGGCACTTGCTGCCTGGTCTGAGTCAGACCCCTGGAATCTAAGGGGCTGAATCCCATGAGTTGTTCTCTGACCACCACACAGGT